ATTTCTGAAAAATTATGCCTTTTTCTTTCCTGGGTCTTTGCTCAAACTCATTAATTAAGATGTTTGTTTTTTTAATCAAGAATAATAATACCTCAAATAGTGTTTAATCATGAATCTAATTAGGATTCTTATTGGACTTAGATTTGAAGATCAATATCCTAGATGGTTTATCAGGTTTGTTTGGAATTTTGAGCAAATTAGGTATACTCTTTATACAGACCTCAAAATGAAATTCAATCAATCGAAAAAAATAAAAATTCCGAGATTCTGGGGTATACATGGTAGCGGAGCTGCAACAATTCCAGCAACTCGTAATTGCTGTCGATGTCCTTGCTCACCAACCTCATACACCTTGAAGTTTCTACTCAAGATGTATATATAAAATGTGATCAACATTTTTTTGGTAACCTCCATCTCAAGATGATGTTTACTTTATAGCCAGACTAGCAAATTTTTTTTTTTTCAGTCAATGAAATGCAGTGAGAGAGACTATCACACTGTGCTGTACTGTGCTGATCTTATTATTTCAAAAATTGTTAAAGAAAGAATTGAAGCAACATCTTGTGCCTTATAGTTTTCTTATTTGTATCTACAGGTGTGAGGATTGTAATCATTTTCTGGAATTTGGAGATAGCGGAAGCTATTAGAAAGCTTGGGCCTGAGGCCTGACTATTCTTAAAGGCACGGCGGACAATCACAGAGACAAGAATATGAATGTATTTTGTGGTTAAGGCAAATTCAGAATTGTTTTGAGATCTCTATATTGAACCTTTATATATAAAGTACTACCACTTATATATTACTTGTATTTATTAATTAGTGTAAATATCTTACATCCAAGGGAAAAGGAGGGAAGTAGGGAGAGAAGGGAATGGGGGGGGGGGGAATGGGGGTGGCAGGGGAAGGGGTAGCAGAGGGGAGGGGAGGGGGTGGGTGAGGAAGAGAGTATAAAAGGCAAAACTTGCTGGACTGTGCTTAGGAACAGTGTTTGTGGTTTCTATTACAGAAATGAAATGTTCTCAGCTTTATTACCCTTGAACTCTTTCTTACTCCTCAGCTGGTCAGCCCTACCTTTCTCCTTCAATCTCTCTCTCTCTCCTCAGAGAAAGTTCGGAGGTTTTAGGGTAGTCACTCATCCAGTCATCCTAGAGAACGCCTCCCTACGACGGTTGTTTGGGCCACCCCTTTCATTGGCTGCGACAGAAAGGCGGTTTTTTTTTATTCAATTTGTTATAATATTTTTATGGTTCACTGGAGTTTTTGCTTTGTATGCGTGTTTGTTGATCTTGTTTTTTCGAATTTGATACAGAAATTGAGCTGTATAGACCTTGATCGGGTACAATTTGGTGTTACCTTTGAAGATATCAAACCCAAATCAGGTATGTTCTTCTGCAATCAATCGTATTTAACTGTTTCCTATTTATTTTGCCTTACTTTTTTTCCCTTTGTTTCGATCTTATACGGCCTTTTGACAGTTTCTTTCTGTAATTTTACTTTGGTTTTCTGAATTTTGGTACGTTTTTTAATGATCGGTTTGAATTTTTGAATTTCATCTTTGCTTGTTGGACCACCAACACTGTGATATGATGTCTCTTTGGTAAAAAAGATTTGATCTGGTAAACTATACTTCTTGGCAATTTAAGGTAGTAACATAGGATACAAAAGGTTATGAAAATAAACCCTTGATGGGCATTTGAGTGTTGTAGAAAATATTGAAAGTTATAACACCATGGGTATTGAGTGTTGTAGAAAAATCTTTAATCTAATCATCCTCAAATTCTTTTAATTTTATGTCTCGACAGCAACACATCATCGACAACCGCAACAATGGAAAGAGGACAAAGCAACGGTGGCTGACCTGTGGGCGCGATCAGGAGGAGCCGCAACAACGTCTAAGAAAAAGACGGAACAAGGACAGTGAATATGAAAGCAAGAAATACAACACCTTAAATTGTGAGACATGTTTTCTCCTTTTCTTTCCCTCAAATTTAAGTGGCCTTTTTGTTATCTAAAAATCAATTTAATTTTACTATTATTTTAATTGTGATTTTTCTCCTGTACTTTATTAAGTTTATTATGGGGTTTTTTTCTTAAAAAAAAAAAAAAAAAAAGAATTTGTGGGTTTGTGCTGAAATTGTGAGTATTGCTGAGTGAAAATTGGAAATTATGGAGTAGCAATTTTAATGAAGATAGTTTGGTTGTTTGTTTATTTTGAGTCGGTTTAATTGATAGTTGGTCTTTTAACGAACTTTATTTGTTGATCTTGTGTTTTGATTATTTTATTACTGTACCATCTTGGCTACAACTTGGTCTATTATTTGGTTTGCAGAAATAAGCTCCTGTTTGAAGGAATATCGCTGAATATGGGTATTATTGCTGCTAGTTTTTTGAAGCTTGTTTGTGATTACTCGCTGTATGAGACTAGAGTATTCAATACCCACTTGAAAAAGATGCTACATGGAGCTGCCCACCTGAAGGTATAATTAAAATAAATGTTGACGCTCACTTTGGTGCTGGCACAAGTGGTGGTCTAGGTGCTGTTGCGAGGGATCACTTGGCCGCATATTATGGGCTGCGGATAAGAAGACTCCTATGGACTGGAATGTGGAATTGGCGGAGGTGGCTGCTGTTAGGGTGTCAAATGGCTAAGAGATTGGGTTACGAAAGTGTATGATCAGGAGTCAAAAGGAGTAGGGGAAGGGTAATCAACACCATTAGAGGGTCTGCTGCTAGATGGTCTCCTATAAGGCTTATTTACGATGATGTACGTAGAATAGTTATGTCTTTAATACTTGTATATTTTCTCATGTAAAAAGAGCATATAATTAATTATACGGTTGCCCATTTAGTGGCTAGGTGGGACACTAGTAAGTGCTCCGAGAAAGTTTGTATGGGTTCTTTCCCCTAAGGTCTTCTATCCTTCGCAGAAACTTGACTTAAATTAATGAAATGCTCTAAGTCAGTGCTTGGTACTTGACCAGTGTCGAACTAGATGTGATTCTCAAATTACTATATTAAACATACAGCAAATTAGATATACATGCCATTAGAGCAGTTAAAACAATGTTGTTTCTAGTTTCAGCATCAGATTAAGTAGAACTTCTGTTTAATACATAGTACATAACAAGCATTCAAAAGTTTCTAATTTGGGAGGTTACAAATTCTAGATAGAATTAGAGTTGATCTTGCTCTAATTGTGACAATCTGACTAAATTGTGACATGGGTTCATCATTTTTGTTTAATTAAGAAAAAAGCTGATAAAATTGCAAGAATTTCAACTTGTAGTGGGTTAACACAACAACAGATGTGGGAGACTATCTTTAAGACCCAATCTCCAGATTGGTCCCTGCATATAGAGGCTAAACCCACAAATAGAGAGGAGAAAGGATGGATTCTCCATTTATTTGTTGTACATTAACCTTTTAATTTAATCGCAGAGTACATAGTATGGGTATTAGTTTTTCGTTTTGTAGATAAAAAAAAATGAGAAATAGAAATTCCTTAAAATTGTAATTAGGGGGAGTTGTTTGATTGAAAAAAAAACGAAGAGGAAATGACATAAGTGAAAAAAAAATTACAAAAGGTAGGAATTCAATTACCTAATCCCTTAGGTAGATAGAATTTTTCATGAAAAATTACTTCTCACATCGATAACCAAATAACTTTATAAAGACTTTACGATCATATGCAATTCCAACATTGGCGGAATGAAATAAGCATTTTTTTTTTTTTTTTTTTTTTTTTTGTAAAAGAAACAAATTTAAGAAAATGATGAAAATGATATGAGCTGTTTGGTTGTACTTGTTTAATATAGGCAAGAGAAATTCCTATAAAATGCTTAGATATCTTGTTGCTTGTTTAGCATGAAATATACTCCGTACAAATAGGCTAATTGTAACTTTTTGGAAATTTTGAGGTCCTACCAATCATAGGAAGTTAATTACTCCACCCCCCTTTTTTAATAGTAATTACTTTGTACCTAACTTACCCTAAGTCATTCACAATTTACAAAAAATGCAAATTATCATATGTCAACCAAACAAGTTTATCAAATTCTTATGAAATAAAATATATGAAAGAAATTATTTCTTAAGAAATATAAATTACCATCAAATTCTTATAAAATAAAATATATGAAAGAAATTATTTCTTAAGAAATGTAAATTAGCATGATTATTTAATTTCCAACGCAACCAAACAAGCACTATATGTAGCTAGGGCTGGCAATCATGTCGTGTCTGTTTGTGTCGGAAATTAAACAAGTTGAGGACGTGTTAATCTGATTGATTAAAAGTGTTGAATACATTTAACACTAACTCACTTTTTCGTGTCCGGTTCGTATCGTGTTGTATGAAAAATATTAGCCTTATTCTATATAATATATCAATAATTATATAAATTATAGGGTTTTTATATTAGATGGGTTGAGTCGGGTTAACGTATTGTTAGAGAATATCAATACTGATCTGTTTTAATTAAATGTGTCATATCATGTTGACCCGTTTAATTACATGTATTAAAAACCCTTAACAATAATCATTTTTTTTTCTTATTTAATTCATGTCGTGTCAACTTTTATCAATTGTATATGTAATTTTAAAACACGTATACTTACCAAAAAATAAATTGATGTTTAAATACACATACTCCATAGACAAATATAAAAGAAAGAGAAAAAAAAAAACATGTTACGGAGTATTACGTAGTCCTCCACAGTACAATTATAATTATGTGAAACGACTAGTCACTAGAGTTCATGGGCAGTGGACGAACTGACAATGGTGGTAATATTGGGCTATTGGCGTTGTAATTTCTGCTGCCCAACTCTCTCCATCATTTCATAGGTTTTACTTCTTCGGTTCTTCCTACAATCCTACCAATTCTACATGTTAAAACTCCATTTCCACAAAAAAGAAAAAAAAAAAAACCTCCATTTTCATGAAAACTCTGTCTTCTTCTTTTATTTTTCTTTGCCATTTTTAGTAGTCAAATTTCAAAACCTTTTTCTCTCTCCTCATTTGGGTCATCATATTTTTCTTGTGAGGTAATTTCTTTCTTTTTTTGTTGTTTCTAAGTTTAATGAGCTTGTTTTTGTTAGTATGGTGTATGTCTGTATGATATGTGTTTTTTTTTTTTTAATTTGTGGGTTGCTTTTATTTGCTTCATATTCTCTCATTCTAGGGTTTTTGAGTTTGATCAAGTTGATTTTACATGGTAAAATATCTTATTTTGTATTTCTCTGGAATTTCGTTCATCTACTGTTGCTTTATACTCCGTATTGTTTAAATAAGGTTTTTTTTTTTTCCTCTGTTCTGGGTTTATGAAGAACATGCGGGGGTTTTCTGGTTTGAACTTGATATTTGCCTTTTATGCTCTGGTTACCCACTTACCCTGTTGATCTTGATGTAGATAATTTGTGAAACTTGTCATATTTTGGTTTTGAAATTTGAGTAATGTGTGAATTTGCCGTATTTTTTGGTTTTAAACGTTGAGTAGTTTGTTATTCTGATTCTTAATATTGTTTAAATAAGGTTGTTTTTTTTTTCCTCTGTTTTGGGTTTTGAAGAACATGCGGGGGTTTTCTGGTTTGAGCTTGATATTTGCCTTTTATGCTTTGGTTACCCACTTACCCTGTTGATCTTGATGTAGATAATTTGTGAAACTTGCCATATTTTGGTTTTGAAATTTGAGTAATTTGTGAAACTTGCCGTTTTTTTGGTTTTAAACGTTGAATAAAAAACTTGCCGATTTGTGAAATTTGCCGTTTTTTGGTTTGTGAAACTTGCCATATTTGAAGGCTCTGATTTTTTGGGTATATATGGAGTATAAATTTATTTACTCTTTTTTTTTGACGAAAAACGCATCTTAGCTCAATTTATTATTTCACCAAGTTTTCAATATCGTGACATAAAGCCCCCTGAATTTCAGTTGGGTACTCTTCAAGCCAAACACGATATTCACTAAAATTGAAACTCAACTTTGCTAAGCTATGGGCAACAATATTACCCGACCTTCTAACAAAAGAAAAAACACAACTCTGACAGCTTCTAGCAAGCATCAGAATATCCCTCACCAAATTGCCAAAAGAGCAAGGAGATATGGAGCCCTTTTTCAGATGGTGGAACAACTTAATGTTATCAGTTTCCAGGATAAAGTTCCTAAAGCCCGCTTCCATGGCTATCTTTAGGCTGGATCTCATACCAATCACTTCACCAACAGCAACATCTACCTTCCCATTCTCTTTCGAACAAAAGGCTACCACAGCAGTCCCCTCCTCATTTCTCAATATCCCACCAATTCCCAGCCACTGACCTTGGAAGGCTGCGTCTGTGTTTAGCTTATACAGACCAGCAGCAGGAGGCTTCCATCTAGAGCTGAAATACTGCACTTGCATCCCCATATCAGCATTCGCATTAGCTTCTTCAAACTCTCCCACCAAGCACATTGTCTTGTAAAGAATGTCAGCCTCCCTCTTCTCTCTTTTATCAAAGACCCATGCATTGCGTTTCAACCAGATTCCCCACGCCAGGCACCAAATATCCCACCAATTCGTCTCCTTGATCTTTCCATACATCAGATTGCATCAACCTCGAAACCCATCAGCATCAAATGCCCTTGTGTCAAGCCGCAAGGCAGAATGTCTCCAAATAGAGGATGCTGCAGGCAGAAGAGAAGCGTATGAGCAGTAGTTTCCTCTCCCTCCCCACACATAGGGCAACGTTGATCTACATTCATACCCCTAGCCATCAACCGGCTCATAACAGGCAGCCCCTCCCTCACACTTCTCCACACAAATAATTTGATCTTTGGTGGAATACGGGCATGCCAAATACTCTTCCAATTAAAAACTACATGCCCATTTGACGAGGTTGCCTTATCCTTTACCTCTTCTTCGACCAAGAGGTTGTAAGCACTCTTTACGCTGTAACGCCCATCTTTCGAGTGATGCCATGACCAAACATCTTCCTCATCAAACAGAGGTACTGGAATACTACAAATTCCATCAATTTCCCGCTGAGAGAATAACTCAGAGAGAGTAGTCCAATTCCAGCTCTGATTTTCCCACAGATCTTTGACATACATTGGAACATCACTACCATCCTTCATTTGTGACAGAATTCGGAACTTTAGGAGATTAGGCACCGACACTACTTCCCCCACCAATAGTCTTTATGGCACCCTTCTCAATTACCTCCCTAGCACTTAGAATCGATCTCCACGTGAAGCTCATGTTTGGGACAGCATAAATTTATTTACTCTTGGATGTCTTGCCTTTTTGCTTATAAAGGTTGAAATAATGTTATTGTTGTATGTGAGTGTTGCTGACATTACATGTAGAAAAGGTTGAAATAATGTTATTGTTAACGAAGTAGTATTGTTGCTTGAATGTTAGTAACTTATTACTTCTGCTATAATTTTGTTGTCTAGTTGCTGCTATATTCTATTATTCTGTTTACCTGCTGCTGAAATTGTTGTTGCCTGTTATATAATCCTGCTGCTGCCTGTTGTATTGCTACTGCTTTTATTTTGCAATTGCCCTGCAGCTGCAGTTCTGTTCGTCCCATAATAATAGACCTGCAGACGTTTCTAGCCCATAGTTCCTTCATGAAAGTTGTAGATCTTGAAAAGTTATTCAATCTAGGCTCAAGAATTTCTTGATTTGGAATTGTGTGCTAGGTTTCATGCCTTCTTGAAATTCCTGTGGTCTGCTGTCTTGGTTCTATCTCAGCGGGGCTGCTGTTGATCACTTGATCCCTGTGTGGTGTTGTTAATATAAAAGATTGTTCTTCCTATGTCTTGTTTGAGTTATATGGGCTGATTTAGTCATGTTAGTGTTGTAGTAGCTTTCATAACTTGAGTTTAGTTAAGAGTGGTAAAGCGATGTCAATTTTTTAGCTTCTTATCAATGACTTGCCTTGTAATCAGAGTGAAGAAAATGACTCAAGGTGCTACAAAGAAGAAACGGCAGCAAAAGAAAAAGAATTCAAAGGATAAAATTTCAGAGGATGAAATAACAAAGAAGATTTCAGCTTTGTGGGAGCAAGAAAGATTACAAGAGTGCTTGGATTTTATCATTTCTCTTGATGATGAGTGGTTGAAAAATTTAAAAGTCTATTCTATGAAAGTGCATGCACTTGTAGGTTTGAAACGGTTTGAAGGTAAGTTTATTTTCCTCCAATGAAATGGTTTGATGTAGTATGGTCTATTGTTTGCTTTAATTCTTATTTTCTACTAGGATCGGTAAGATTTGGAAAGCTTTTGATTATTTTCTTTTTACAAGTGAGTGGCTTTAAGGCTTAGGGAAAGAAAGCTTGGAAAAGATAAATACAACATTTTCAGTTTCCTAAGGAAACAATAGAGAAATGCAAGCGAATATTAATCTTGAAATATACAACTTGAGAGATAAAGAAAGCTAACAAATATTGACTAGGTTAAACTGTTTAAATCAAGACTTATCCAGAAATTTGGAAAGCATATTTGTGTTATTTGTATTGTAAATTTGTATTATTTTGTACTTCATTTATCTTAATGTTTTCATTTAATTTTGTATGATCAGAGGTATTGGCTTTGCAAAAACGACTCGAAGAATTTGGACATAAAACGACTTTGGCACTTGGTGAATGGTTTATGTTTGCGTAAGTCTATTATCTTCCTTTCTAAGGATTTTTGATAAATTATCAGGATGATGTAACTGTTACAAGATATTTATTTGAATTGATTCTATACAGACAATACAGTAGACAATAGTTAGTCATCTTTAATCACGTTGACATTAATTAAATTTTTTAAAATGCCTTGCAGTTATGCTAACAGAAAGCAAAATAATATTTTGGAAGCATATCTCCTTTATAAATATGTGCATGATCAGAAGGGTGCAGTCTGTGTAGATGATGAAGCATTCAAAAACTGTCTCAAATGGATAAAAAGACTACAACCGAAAGTTCAACCAGATTTGGATAGAATTGCAGTGGAAAGAGCTAGTAAATTTTTGGATGATGAGCGTGCTGCCTCCTCTTCCACCAAGGCTCCTGCCTCCTCTTCCACCAAGGCTGCGACCTCTTCCACTCAAGGCTGCATCCACCCGACCAAGGCTGCATCCACTCCGACCAAGGCTGCATCCACTTCGACCTTGGTTGCGTCCGCTTCGACTTTGGCGATCCCTTCTTTGACCTTGGATCCCTCATCTTTGGGTGTGGATGCCTCTTCCCAAAAAATGATGAAGGTAATCTCTTCTCAACTTTTCGTTAATTTTATGATTTTTTTTATTTGGAAAGAACAAAAAATATTATTAGGTCACTGATTAGCCATTACATTCAAGACCTAAGCGTAACAAACACTAAGAGTTAAAAGACTACATGTTTAAATACAGTTCTCAACCATTTAACATCATTAGCTCATCACTACTAGTTCCTGGAAGAAATCTGTAAATTCTATAATGCATATTTTGTTTCGGAGGACTAGTTACATGTGTATGATCATCATGATGAAAAGTCTACATAGCTTTGTTTCTTTGCTGCCAAATATAGTATACTAAACCAGCGAGACATCTTTAATATATCAATTTGAAATAAGCTATCTGTTACAATCTTCAACATAAGCAAAGTTAGTAGAGATTTTAAGCCATTTTCTATAGAACAGTAAAACAATAATGATTGCAAGAGCAGTTAAAGAACATATGTTGTCTAGATTCAGTGTTATTGCACAAGGATCAAGAGTTGTCTAGAACAATATGTATCGTTTTATTTGTTAAACATTTTTCTCTATTCTGTATTGATAAATATATATTTACAGTTTACAGAGGATGGTGTGATATACTTTGAAATGACCCAGCTTGATGAATTTTCATATCTTGGTGTAATGAAGATAGGCGGGAGTTCTTTTCCCAAGTCGTATATCAAAATTGGCGAGAATTCTACTTCAGATGTCTCAATTAGGCTTAAGAAAAACTCATGCCTATTGAAAATTGAATTTTCAATGTATTTCCACTCCCTTTCCAGTAGGGTAGCAATTGTTGAGCCGGTCCGTCCAGTAAAAGTGTTCTTTGAATTGAAGCTTGAAGATTTCAAATCGGAAGCAATGGCTCAAACTTGTAAAAAATGGTGGGAATATATCAAAGACGACTTTCTATCAATATTTCGGTAAAAAATTTACTTTGTTAATTTATTATATTTTTATTTTATGAATGAAATTTAATAATATATTATTGTATTGTAGAGGCGTAATATGTGGCATGCTTGTCATATATTCAGATCAAAAAGTCTGTAGTGATCTGGAAAAATCACTCTACGTTACTGAGGAGGGAGAAGCCAAAATATTGCATATTTCTCAAGAAAAATTTACATTCAGTCAAGCGCAAAAAGAAGTGTCTGATTTGTTGTCCATTATTGAAGGAGTCATTACTTTGATAAGACCAAGATCAAGACCAGATTTGGAAACTTGGCGTAAAGAATTTGAGCTATCTTATGAACTGCCTTTAGAATTAGGTCATTTTTTAAACAGCTTAAGAGTCAGGAAAATGTAAGTAAATTTCCCTTAAATCTGTTTTTATATTCTTTTTATTCATTATAAGTTCAGTTTATGCTAATATTATACTTTGTATATTTTGTTTATGTAACTATTAAAAAGCTTGTTATCTGCAACTGTACATTACTTATAAAGTTTTTTTTTTTTTTTAATAAATAGGTATACTTGTATGATTAAAAATTTTATGTTTTATTTCTAACAGATGTGATAACATTCATCCAATGTTGTTGATTGATCACCCGTTTATCTGGTCGATAAATCATCGGGTTTCATTCATCCAGTCTCTTGAAGTGGCTATTAAAGAAAGGTTAATCAATGAGAAGGCTTTCAATAATGAAATGACTCCGAATTTTAGGACTCAAAATTGGAGGATTGAAGTCTCAAATGACTTGTTATTGTCAGCAACTTTTATGTTAAACCATTTCGTGTCATTAATTTTATTCATGCAGTGTTTTCCCATGCTAATGACTATCAATATGATACTATACGCGGGAAAAAGGTAATGACTTTCTTTCTATTTTATTTACGAAAATATTAATTAATTATTGCATGCTGCTAATTTTTTTATCTTTATCTTTTATAGGGTGGTTTGACTCTTGAGGAAAGAGAAAGTCTAATTACAAAAGTGTTTCCTTCAATATATACAACACTTTATGACGCCCTGTGTGATTATGCAAAAAATTCTAGTTGGTAAGAATTTAATATTTTGTTATTTCTAATGTACATCTTTTATGTTGTTTAAAATTTTTGTTTAACACTTTTTAATTTAACAGGGGATATACAGAGTCATTTTCAGATGTTCTTAAAAGATTTTCAAGTTGTGGATCTCAATATTGATTTCCTGTTCCTGGTAAGCATTTGATATCGATTTGGGGGCTATTTTGGTGTGGTGTTTTCGGGTTGTTTTAGGTTACATTGTGTGTGAATAGTGTTTGAGGTGTGTGGGCAAAGGGTTCGTATTATTGCTTGTGTGTCTTGACGATGTGAGTATGTGATAGGTGTTGCACACGTGATGGTTGTTGAGTGGTATTGTGTATGTGATGGGTGTAGAGTGTGTTTTGGTATTGGGTATTAAGCATGTCATTTATGAGTTAATTTGTATGTTTGGAATTTTTGATACTCCTTGTTACATGAGTTGTAGTGGACTAGAAGTGCGTAATTTGGCATTATTTCTTTGGTTTATTGGTGGTGATGGGTAATTGAACTTTTGGACTAGGCGTACTTTTGCGGAATATGCAACAAACTACTGTGAAAAGGCATTGTAAATAACTGTTAATTGACACATAGATTAAACTAAATGTCTTTACACATACATTATGTTGTATGATTCTTATAACATTTAATATTTTCTTTCTAATTCCTTTTGGAAGTCTCGTATAATAATTACATTCATTGTCATTGCTGAAACTAAAAGGTTGGACAACTATCGGTACATCACTTGTTACTTATTCCTTTTCTTGTTTCCTGTTTCAGTTGATATTTTTTCTCTTTGTAGTTGCGTCATTTCTTGAAAAATCTCATAATCTTATTCTGAATTTTCACTCCATGTTCTCATCTCTATGAAACGTCCATCAAATTATTTTGTTATGTACAGGTTTAAAATAAAATTATGCATACGGAGTACTGGATTTATGTCTATGAGTCTGCATTCAACTCTCTGCGTGTAGATTAGTTTTTGCAGAAAAGTTCCCAATTGATGTGTTATGTCTTATTGTATTGTATTTTACTATTGTTTATGAGTACTAAGATTCATGTCTCTGAGTTTGTGTTCCAACTCTCTGGGTGTAGATTAGTCTTTGCAGAAAAGTCAATGCAGGTTGATGTTATTGATGTATTTTGTCTAATTGTAGTTGGAGTATTATGGCTATTGCTTCACTGATGTTCTGTTGGCAAAAAAATCTGTCAAAATTGTAGAATGTAGTGGGCATTGGGGGTCAATGTGAGGCAGAGAAATGTATGAACCTATGTGTGTATCCTCAGCTTCAGCTAAGCCTTCTAGATAATATAACACAACTCCCTCATCGAATCTTGTTAGCAGCTATTCATATTTTGTAAACATGATTAACTTGATAGATTTTAAGATATGCTATATAATTACTCTCTGTATCAAGGATAGACTTTAGCAATCAAACATACAAGTAGTTAATATCACCTAAATACAATGAACTACCAATTTAATATCAGATGTCGTTCTTGCTTGCTGTCTTACAATGTAAAGATATATTTTTGTTATACATAAGTTTGTTATAGATATATTTCCGTTATTATCTGATTATTTTCTTATCATGTATACAATTACGCAGTTTGCAGGTAGGTGAAGGGGGTCGATAAATGAATTGATCCACTAGATGCATACCCTCTGATGTCTGCAACACTAGTAGCAAGCCTGATTTATTTTTTGGTTCAGACAGATCATTGTGTTGCTTGAGATTTAAGTATAGAGCTGACTTTTTCTTATGTGAGCTAAGCTACTTCTGGAGAAGTTAAACATGGAACTACTGTTGTTTACGCATGGGGTTTTTATTCTCAAAAGAAATATGTCTGTAAAATTGTACCTGAATTTTCTATCCCCGGATCAATGTGCAGCAAGTTGAGACCTTAAAATTTATGCTTCTAAACATATCTGTTAATTTTATGCTAAAGCTTGACTCATTGAGCTTCCTACTTATGCACTCAATTTGACAATAATAATGCTAGCAACAATCTACTTTTTCTACTTCTAGTATATGAAATTAAAAGAGGTTCCCTGTATGTTCATTTTATGCTTCAATGATGCACATATACCTTTGACTTTTGTAAAATAACGTCAACAATGTTCATATACTATCCTAAACAATCTTGATAAGAAGCAGAGAATAAAAGCATTCTCGCCCTATTAATGGCCTACTTTACTTTTGCACTGACCTGTCCTAATTATTAATACCTACACCCTAGTGTAGGGCCGTACTAATACCTACACCCTACGAAGATGTCATTGTGATGCACTTGCTTGTGCAGCATTGTGAGGCCTTTAGACTTCCTCGTTGGTATGGTAGCCCAATAAAACCAAGTTTTCAGACTTTAGACGAAAAAGAATAAATTTTCGAGGACTTTATGCGTAATGCTCGCTGCGTTTGGCAGATATTTTGGACACAAATTCCTGTTTCTCTCACATGGACTTCCTAATGTTTTTTTCTTATAAATTAAGGAATGAAAATGACACAATCAAGAGAGAAAACTAGCATGATATTTCAGAACTTTTAATGGTCACAGTTGGGATTCAAAGAATAAAAGTTCTAAGATAAACTACATTAATATTTGCAGACAAGATACTTAAAAAAAAAAAACTATAGCTTATCCCATCTGTGGTTCGTCTTTATATAATTATATAATGGGATTCATCATCAACCCAAAATTTTGAATCCTACCAATTTACAAGGTGCAGTTTGGAATTCAGTCTCCAAAAGTCATCACAGTCAATCACTTCATATATCAAACCCCTTGAGAAAATCTGCAATACCCGTAAACAATGATAGTATAAGAGTAAACTTCTCATTTTTCTATCGCGCCTTTGATTATCCCCATCTTTACAAATGTCAAACAAGAACTTTGATAGTGAAGCAAACCGCGGAAGATGGAGGAGCATATCCCCAAAAGATCAATTATTGGCATGCTTGGTGTCTGATTGCCGCCATCTCCCCCAGCTGTAGTTGTCACCCTCATTAGTTGTATTCTGATCCAATAACTAAGGTTCATGGTTATTGGCTTTTCCATCCACACTTTCTTCAGTCACATCAGAACTCTGAACAGAAGCACCATCTTTCTGAATGAGGGAGTACCAAGAGTTGACCTTTGAGTCTCTAACATGAGGAATTTTCATCAGAACATGGTCGGGTGCTGGGTAAATTCCTCGATCGTTTTATTTTGGGACTTGGATCCTTCTTATGTGAATTTAGAAACCTCAGAACTCCTCTGTTTCGTAAGGCAATTTCCAATATGATTCACAGGGTCACTCATGCATAATTCACTGTTCAACGCTTTTTAATTCCTTTGGTTTTCCTGATTGGCTACTCGAACTAACTTTCATTACGCACACATCCATCACTAAAATGAATACTTGGTGATCAGAAGGAAATTTAACAAATGTAAATTAAAAGCCAATGTCCAAGATTATTGATGACCATTGATATCATAAACATGATGAATTATATCTCAACACCACGGGCACCTAGGTAGCTAGCAAGTGAATGCTGAGGCTGAGATAGACTGAGACATAAAATAGTTCTGCCCTTCCAAAATTTAAAACAAAGGATTCTTAAGATAATGAACATTTAAAGAGGAAGCATGGCCATATATTGCTCACCAGATATACATCTAGAGGTGGGAAATGGGTTGTTCAGACGTGGTACAATTCAGGCCATGTCAAGTCATGTTTGGGTATGTTCAACTGAATCAGGTCAGTTTGGGCCAAATCATATTTAATTCTATTGCCAACAATCTTACTATGTTAAATAAAACGTATTAGACATATTAAGTGTCGGCAGTCACCCCCCTACGGCCCTACACCCCTACCCCCATTAAAGCATAGGATTTTTATGGTAATGAACATTTATAAAACAAGAAGCATGACCACAAATTGCTTTAGAGGTGGCAAAGAGGTTTTTTTGGTTGGTACAAAATTCAGGTCATGATAGGGTATGCTTCAGGTCGGTTCAGGCCAAATCATATTTGATATTATTGCTAGTAAACTTATATGAAAGTAATCGTAATAGACATACTAAGTCTCGGCATCCTCCAATCCTCCCCCCCCCCCCCGGAAAAAATATAAAATATATAAAAATCTCTTCTGGTATGATATATTGACAGATCCTACAATAAATTCAACATAAGGATGTACAAAGAAAGAAAACAGAAATTCTAACAAGAAAATTGTTGAGGAATCCATGCCAAATTTCAGACACCATCTCCAAATACAGAAGTCTAGGACAAACACAACAACATCAATGGTGTCTAAATCATAGCAGACATGGTGATAAAAAGGATACCTGAGCTTGGAGAAGTAGCTTCACAAGACAGAGTCTCAGATGTTCCATAACTTGTTTGACTGAGAGAGATGATTATTAGGATAAAGGTATTCCGACATCTTCAAAGATTGAGATGCTAGGTCCTCTGCTAGTTTATATTTGATCCAAGCTATGACTTTTAGATTCATTTGAGTCGTCAAAAACAGAAGGCTGCAAATCGAAGTTTGGAGGATCTAGACTTATTAATTTCTGGTTACCGGCTCAGAAAATTAAGATGCATATCACACTGTGTCAATTTCTCAAAATGCTTGTTTAATAGACCATAAGGCACCAGAAGGAAATGCTTCCTGTAAAATTGCAGTAGTATAAAAAATATAGATTTTAATATTCCCTAGCCAAAAAAAGTAAAATTAATAAGCCTTAAAATTACACAATTTTAAGAAAACGCAGTGCATGTAGAAAAACTTTATTTAATGCCAAAATAAATTCAGGAAAATTCATATTATATTATTTTAATAATATACATCCTCCGTTTAGTAATAATGGCAACACTTCCTATCTAGCAAGGAGTTAAGCCTACTACAATTTTATTATATCTCTCCCATTAACCCCAGTACCCCACAACCCACTTGTACAAATATGTTATTAATTCTCTCTCCTATTGTTATTATAAGGAAATTTTGACTTTTGGTACCACAAAAACACTCGGTATTCATTTTTGCTACCGCTCATATTTTTTTTTATTTTACTACCACTAAAAATCACATATTTTAAAATTCGCTACCAGTTGACGGAAGCTGTTAGTTTTGCCGTTTGTGGGCCCCACTTCACCCCTACCCCTCTCTCTCCTCCTTCCCCAGCCACCAATCCCCTTCCCCTTCCAATCCCTAAACCCCAGCTCCCAAAACGAGCCCAGCATCATTTATATACAAATCCGTCCTTCCCTCCCAATAAAATATAGGGAGCATCTTCATTTAACTAAGTCCAAACATAATCAAACATTTTTCAATTTTAAGTAAGATGAAATTATAAGTTTCCCATATTACTCTAAATTACACCCTTATAATTCCAAAGGGGCATTAAGAACATAACGCCCACAGGTCACAGGACGAGGCAGTTCTATGTTAATTTGCTCATTAGACAGATCTTTAAATAAGCATCTGAGAAAAATATAGCATTGGTTGTACCATGGATACTTGGATGAGATTAAGACAACCTTATAATGGAAAGTGATATAGCTCAATTCAAACTCAGATCTCTTGATTGAAAAAATTCCAATCAGTAATTCAGTATTGATTGGCTCTATCTCCCTTCTTTCTTGAGATCTTCATAGGCCTTCTTTAAAGCCCCCAACTCCATTTGCGCCTTCCCCCATCAACTACTAAAACCAGAGATCATGAAATCATGGTACTGTCTAAAAATCATTAAGCTTGATGGCACACAAGCTGCAATGTTGAGTTAAATGGAAATTGTCAGTGCCTTGAACTCGATTACCATATCCCTCATATCTCATATGAACATCATCAGTCATAGAGCATAAAGTGACACAGAAACATTTGATGGCCTTGGCCAAAGCATTGCTAAAATGGTTTCTTTTAACAGAGAGTTACCAGCTTCCTTGAGGGATACTGCATATTCCATAGCCTCCGATCCATTGGACTACTGGTTTTCTCAAACATTTCCTCAACATCACAGTCATCCTCCCCTAAATGATGCAAAACAATAGATTCCACACTTGAGTCTTCCCCTAAACCCATTCCCAAATAAAAAAACAGAACAAGAACAAAACTAGATAAAACAAACAAAAGACCATTGGAAATCCTGCCTTTGTTTTTTTTTTTTTTTTTTCTTTTTAATATTAGACCACTTGCCTTTTCGAGAAGTTTCACAAATATTGTACCATTTTCATTTTTCGACAAATTTTTTTGTGTTCATAGTACAAATAACTAACACACCCATATTTTTTCACACTTATTCTTTAGTTTATGTTTATCACATGGGCAATTTTGTATTATTATGTTTCTCTCTCTTCTTTATCCCCACTACCATAATTATTGCAGATTGGCAAATGTGGCAATATGACCCCCTAACTTAGATTCATAGTGTAATTAACCCCCTTAACTTTACAATGTGACATTTTAAATTTTTAACCCCATTAGTTTTTAAATACGTGAAATTAAGTACAAATTCAATTTTCCGGCCAAATTATCACCGAAAAATGATGACATGGCACATTATGTATATTAAATTTTAATCTTTTTAATCTATAAACAAATAAATAAATACAATAAAAATATGTATGTTTTACAATTAAAATTACTCCATACATCATCTATTATCTTACCTGTAATTCTATTTTTTTTTTACAATTAATCAATAAAATAGGATTATATAATATACATCTAAAGTAGATAAATTTTATACATGTGTATACTATTGAAGATAGATGCTTTTATTATCTATTATTTGTTCTAAATGATGCATAAACTCAATCTTTTCCCTCATGGTTTGCACAAGCATGATTATTTTACATAATTAAATCTAAAGAACTAGTAATAAGAATGCCCTAATTTATATGCAGTTTGAAAATTGCTTAATTTTTACTCATATACTAAATTTTCCCTTAAAATGATACATGTGAGCATTAAACACAAGAAGGTACAATTGACATGCACAACTAGGAAACTTACCAAGAGCATCATTCATGGAGAAATGAAGAATGACGTTTTTGGAGAAGGTTAGGGAGTCTTATTGCCACATTTGCCATTGTAGAAGGTACTAAATGTTCAGTTTTATTTATTTATTTATTTATTAAATGTTCAAATTATAGATGTGGTGCATTTAAAAATAGTTGCACCATATTGCACGTAATAACTATTGATCCCCGCTCCCCCACCCACTAAACAGAGACCCATCCCTACCCGTTAGAGCGGGTCTTTTACTTGACCTGCCACACTGACATCCCAGAAAATAAAGCCGTGTTTAGAATTTGTTTCGAATAGAAAGAAAGTCTACAAGTGCTCTTATAAAATACGGGTCATGAGCCCAATCATTGTTGATAAGAAGGTAACCCACAATTACCCGCCCAAGAGAAGCCCACCCTAGATTGCTTAGGCTTCGTATAAATAAAGGCATATAAATAAAGGCATCTAGGGCCGCAACCGCAAGTGTGGCAAATTGGGGGTGTTAGAGTGTTAGGTATCAATTGAATTGAAGAGAGGAAGCGATGCCGGAAAAAATGGTGGTGGAAAAGAGAGGGGAATTGAAGAATAAGATGATAGTAGGGGGCGTGGTGATTGAACCCAGGAACCCTTTACTTATAGCACCTCGTGATTGTTGTGAAATTGTTTACTATGTTTTGGATCTGAACACTGCGGAAGTCTCATCACTTCCTCGTATCGTGGTTGGTAATGGTTGTGAGCCTCCCGTGGGTGTTGTGGGATCTACACTTTATGTTTTTGGGGGCGGCAAATCGTTCTCCTCCGGTGACGGTGATGATTCCGCAAAATCAAAACCCAAGAAAGGTAAGAGGAAACAGAAAGGCTTATTCTCATGTCATATGCTAGATCTTACCAAACCTAAAGATGGTTGGAGACTAGCCACCGCTGGGCTCGATCAGTCACCAGCCGTAAGGGCCAATCAGGCGTGGCCAGAAGGTATCGTCGAATTTGGTGGGAAGATATATGTTTTTGACAACTCCGAATCTGGTTTTATTGGCGAGGTTTTCGATCCTCAACATAATAATTGGCGTCGCTTAAAGTCGCCTCCGTTCCCACCGCCACCGTGTGGTGATGGGGATCAGTTGTTTGATTACCGCACACTAATTCTTCCGGTTATGGCGGATCACAAAAGAAACAGAATCATAGTGTACTTCCAGTATATCTCAACGATGTATGCCTATTATCCATGTGAGGATCAATGGCGGTGTCTGGTTGAGGACCTTAAAGGTGGATGGCAAAGGTGGGGAGAGGCCGTGACTATCGCAGACGATGGGGTTATCTATATTCATAATCCTAGAATGAAGGCATTCTTTAGGGCTTATGATACAGTCTCTAAAGAATGGTTGAACGTAAGACTGTCCCCTGAGGCTGAGGCTAAAGCCGACTATCGATCTTATCTTATTTATACCAGATATGATACCTTATTACATCGGGGCAATGGCGTGCTGTGCTTGATCTTTTCCGCTATTCCTTGGGACGAGAACCCCGCCTTTGATCATATTGTCCAATTCAAAGTCCAACTCGTCAACTTGAATGCCAACTCTAAGGAGATTCTTGTCACTCCGCTTTCTTCCCAACATTATAATCTCCCCTCTCGCTGCAGTACTTTTCTCTACCTCCCTGTCTAGGTATGTTAGCTAGCTAAGCTTTTGTTAAGGTTATTCAATTGTAATATGTTCTTGATCATTATATTCTTAAATATTACTTTATATTTCTATGATCATTATATTCAATTGTAATATGTTCTTGATCATTATAAGACCCTTGACTATTGACAATAATTCTATATATGTTAACCTTCTTGCAAATTATTGTTATACTTTAAAAATTGCTTATTTGTTTCCCACCTCTAAGGCTCTGTTTGTTTTTAAGGAAAACAAATTTTTTGGGAAAATGATTTTTTCATGGAAAATAATAATATTTTAAAGAATTAAAAAAGTAAAAGATAAGGAAGGGAAAGTGAGAGTGAAAGGGAGAATGGATAAGAGGATAGAAGAAGAATGTAAAGAGTGGGAAGAAAAGTGTGGCATACTGTAAATATTTTTCACTTTAGAGAAAATTAGTTTCCACCTTTGTGAAAATTGTTTTCCACCTTTAGAAAATGTTTTCTGTCAAAACAAATGGAGCCTAAATGCTCCTCAACATTTTCATTGCTTGTTCAGTAGTTCAAACATGTCATGAATCAATCAAGCCTACTTTCTATCGTTTAAGCTTCTCTTGAACATGAAATTGGTTGAAAAGTAGAGGTGAATGAATTTTGCCTGTAATGCTGCACATTTGTCTCTCCGACTCATGAGATGAGTAGTTGTTGATTTTTACTCGTGTTTTTCATTACTGTTCAATAGTTGATCTATGTCCTGAGTCAGGCCTTCATTTAGTCTAACTCTGTCTTTTAAGCTTTCCTTCAAGGTATCTACCCTCTTCCCTGTCCCCTGCTCTCTCGTATTTGGGGTGAACTTCATATTGTACCTGTTGGGCTATTTTAATACCAGTTTCTGCGTAAAATGTTATCACTCTTACCATGTTTATTAGGGTCTTGGAGTTGAGGGTAGGTTTTGAGTCCATTATGGATAATGAACCTGAACCATATTCCATTTCTTCCGTTTCCTATGTCTCCTTTCAATTTTTTTTTTCCTTATGTATGCTCATTAATATAATGCAGAATTAAGCAATCATTACAAAATGTAGAATTAAGCGTATGAGTTGTGATGGATGTGTAATCTTAAGAATTGATAAGAAAAGAAGGTTAAATTGTTGTCTGGTATTGGCATGACATCTTAATTTTGAATTTCTCTACAATTTAGAAGTTCCATAAAAACATTATTGCCTATCACTGTGAAGATTTCAGTCTATATCAGTCATACATGATTGTGGGTTGTTTTCCTAGTTGGGTTGGGTGGTAGAACTATCTTCCTTTTTTTCTGTGTGTAAACAAGCTTATACTAGCTGGTTGTATTTGAACACAACCTGTGCTAGTACTGATGGGTGTTCAACTCCTAAGCAAAAGGTTGTGAACAGTTGTTGTGAAGTAGTACGGCTTTAGTATGAGTTCTAGCAGCCAAACCATTGATTGATAGCTTAAAAGTCATGCCTCCAATAAGTGAAGAAGCCCTCAATCTAGGAATGCCTTAAGTGAAGCATCTTCCGGAATACTAGTACTGCTCTTCATTTATTCATTGTAAGGTTCCTGTATAAGAAAATGCACCAGAATTCTCATAGTATAGTTTGACTTCTACAGCTATCACCTTGTGATATGGAAAGTCTATTATGCCTTTAGCATAAAAAGTTATGTAAGTTCTGAACTTCTCATTTGTTGTTTTGCGTGCCTACCTGCAGATAGGTTTGTTGCAACTTGAGGGCCAATGAACGAGCTTCATGTCTAAGTTGGAATTGTGAAGAGCTGCGTTGATGTTGAAAGTCATATGTGTTTATTTTAGCTGCAATAGCGATCGTAGCAGCAATTGCAATCATGATTTTATTAAGGCATGTTATTAGTACTTAATGTATTCACCTTGGATCCGACAATGTAGACTTTTATTAAATTGCTACTCTCGTGTTATTAGTCTATGTTGTATATTTGGAATTGTAGTAGCCTGGCTGGTATGCTTAAAAATAAGTCTTATTTCCTTGCTGGTATGCTTTCATCTTTGCTACACACTATTAAATAAAGGAAGGAAATGTGGGAGGGAAAGTTGCATGGAGAGTAAATAGGAGGGGCAGTAGGTGTTTTCATTGTTTTCCAATTAATTAAAGCGTGTATTACTAAGAATACTAACGTCAGGTTAATATGATGTTTACGGTAAGCCATTATATTTCAAAGCCATGATTATCTCTATGCTTACGGTAGTTATTTAGGATTATATTCGGGTGTATCATTGATAATAAAAGTTTAATGATGTGTGGCAAAGATATAAGTCAAAATCACAAGTTATCATTGATAAATTCCCATACTTATTTTATAAAAATTCTCTTTTGGGCCCCACCTTATACATTTTTTAAAATTTGGTGAACATTCTAATGTTGCAACTAAATCGAAACGGAGGGATTAATAAACATATTTTAATACTAAAGGAAAATTTGAAAAATAGCACCATCAATACATCACATTTTAGAATTACCACCTCGAATGATTTATTTTTTTAAAAAAATTTATCACCTACAAAATCTCAAAACATCAAATTTACCACCACTACTTTGCCCAAACCTTCATTGACGACGTCATGTGGGGTCACCAACGAATTTTTCTGTTCTATTTCCCTCTTTTTTCCTCCCCTTCCCTCGATTCTCCCTCTCTGTTCTTCATTCTTCATAAAATTCTCTCTTAGTTTAGGTAAAACTTCCAATTAATGTGTAATAAGGGTTTTTGCAATCAATTTGGGATTTTAAAATCCTAATTACACATACTTTTTTTTTAAAGCAATTACACATACTTGAATGCAATAATTGGATTTTTCGCACAAATTCATAGAGAATATTAGGAAGAGTGATGAACAGAGAGTGTAAATCGGAGAATCGAGAGGGAAATAGAAAAGAAAACGCGTTGATGGGCCCCACATGACGTGAAGGTGGTACTCCCTCCGTGTTTTAAAAAGTGTTACACTTGCCTAATCCGATCGTGTTTTAACAATTGATATTTTGAAGATTTGAAGGTGGGTGGTAAATTTTAAAAAAAAATCATTGGGGGCGGTAATTCCTAAAAAGTGATGTATTGATAGTAGTAATTCCTACTGTATTCATATTTTGTATTTTTTAACTTGTTTGTAGTTTGTTTATTATTAAATGTTCATATTATTATAAGTGACTAATTGGGTTTGGGCGTGCATTTTTTACGGGCTTGGTCAAGCACTTTTCTTATGAGGAGATTAAGGCATCTTTTAGAAAGCTTGCTAAAGAAACGCACCCTGACCTCGTTTCTTCTGCGGATACTGATACTGCTGATTCGAAACGTTTCATCCAAATTCTCGCTGCTTATGAGGTGAGTACTATTTTGTCAATCATTATTGATTTCTTGCTGTAATATTATGTTGAATTAGTGTTAAATTTGATATTTTTACAATTTCTAATTCTGCTAAGTTTTGTGTTATATATTGGTGAATTGGAGGTCGCATTGTTCAATAATTCTACTTCTTGTGAATTATGTTCAATTAATCAATCATCCATTGTTATTGACATTTGTATTAATGTTTGAATTAGTATATGGTATAAAGATATTGGGGTTACTAGTCTAGGTTTTGCAATGTCATGAAATTGAAATCGAATTGAATTTGTGGAATAAATTCATGGATAGATCTTTAAGTTTGTTGATATAAATTTTGGTTCAATTTTGGATTGTTTGTTTCGTTGTGCCCCAGTTAGATAAGAGGTACAGAAACTGAAAGCTGATTCTAGAAGTCGGTGGTATGGTATTGCTTAAACTGACTTAGAGAAATCCACTTCATTACCAGTTATATTGATTGTATCTCGTGTCTTTACTCTGCATTTTTAAGAATTTTGTAATATGCCTAGAATGTACTACATATTTCCACACTAATGTATATATGCTGTCCATCTGAGTATAGTTATTTGGGTCTTAGTATGAAGAGGAGACTATGATCTATTTTGATCAATGTCAAAGTAGATTTCCTTGATGTCTTTTTTTTGCTGCTTTATAGGAATAGTGTTTAAGATCAAGAAGTGCTGTGCATTGGATGACACAAGACATATATAAGCCTAAAATGTCACCAGTCCATGATTTTTCATAGCTCTGTTTTAAATGCCTTTTCTACATTATTATTAACTCTTTTCCTGAAATTTATATGGCAGGAAATTTTCAAGCTGTAAAGAAAGCTCTCTTGTCTGTTTCAAGTTGTCTCCAAGAGCACACCAAAGGTGACATGTTTGAAGTACCATGGTTGTACTTTTGTTAGTTACCTTTTCTTCTTCCCTCTTTGTGTCTCTCTTCCCCTAACACTGGTTGCAGTGACCAGGAGAAATGGTTTTTGAAGTCGAGTGTTTCATCTCAAAAAAAAGAAAAGGAAAAAAAAAACTCGAAAAATCGAGCGTGATAAATTGTGTAGCTAACATATTAAAAAGCTTTGGATTGTTAAAAAATTATGCTTATCTTAATTTTATGTTTATTGGCCGTAATTTCTCTCTGCTTTTTTTTTTTTTTTTCTAACACTAGCTTTTCTAATTGAATTGAATTAAGCTCTTTGTTTGATTTGATTGCAGGAAGTGGTGAAAGTATGACTGACAAGCTAAGGTTCTTTCTGATCCAATTCGATCCCAATTCTCTTGATTTTGTTATAGACTAAATCATCAGGCTTGTATTTCTGATTTAACAAGGCTAATAAATAAAGATGAAAGCTTAAAATTTGATTAATAATGGCTAATAACGTTACAAAGAGATAGGTTAATAGCTCTAGGTCATCACTCTCTTTGATAACATTAGGGTATTACTCTCTTAGTAACTTGAGGTTACCATTCTCTCAACAATTTTCCTCACAATTCACATAATTTCTACTGGCTTCTTACTAATACTTATATACTCAAGCTACCAATTACAAAAGGTTAACCTAACATTGATTGGTGTTTGTCTTCTTCAGCACATTAGCAATTCATAAATCACACCCATGTTGCCACTTTCTTAAGTGTTTCCTTAATGACCCTTGTCTTCATGTGCTGAAGAGTAGCAGTTGCCAACTGCTGTGGTTGATTCTTGTCCCCTCTTCCACTTTACTTCCTTGTGTACACCCACAATGGTGGCTTGGTGGAGGTGGGTAACAGGTCTATAACATATTTTCTCCACTTATAATATAGATTAAGCTCATTAACTTGTAATGTATTTTCTCTCTTTCAATTTTGTTGTGCTTAAATAAGATGTAAAAATTCTCATTTCTGAAAAATTATGCCTTTTTCTTTCCTGGGTCTTTGCTCAAACTCATTAATTAAGATGTTTGTTTTTTTTAATCATAGAATAATAATACCTCAAATAGTGTTTAATCATGAATCTAATTAGGATTCTTATTGGACTTAGATTTGAAGATCAATATCCTAGATGGTTTATCAGGTTTGTTTGGAATTTTGAGCAAATTAGGTATACTCTTTATACAGACCTCAAAATGAAATTCAATCAATCGAAAAAAATAAAAAATTCCGAGATTCTGGGTATACATGGTAGCGGAGCTGCAACAATTCCAGCAACTCGTAATTGCTGTCGATGTCCCTTGCTCACCAACCTCATACACCTTGAAGTTTCTACTCAAGATGTATATATAAAATGTGATCAACATTTTTTTGGTAACCTCCATCTCAAGATGATGTTTACTTTATAGCCAGACTAGCAAATTTTTTTTTTTTCAGTCAATGAAATGCAGTGAGAGAGACTATCACACTGTGCTGTACTGTGCTGATCTTATTATTTCAAAAATTGTTAAAGAAAGAATTGAAGCAACATCTTGTGCCTTATAGTTTTCTTATTTGTATCTACAGGTGTGAGGATTGTAATCATTTTCTGGAATTTGGAGATAGCGGAAGCTATTAGAAAGCTTGGGCCTGAGGCCTGACTATTCTTAAAGGCACGGCGGACAATCACAGAGACAAGAATATGAATGTATTTTGTGGTTAAGGCAAATTCAGAATTGTTTTGAGATCTCTATATTGAACCTTTATATATAAAGTACTACCACTTATATATTACTTGTATTTATTAATTAGTGTAAATATCTTACATCCAAGGGAAAAGGAGGGAAGTAGGGAGAGGAAGGGAATGGGGGGGGGGGGGGGAATGGGGGTGGCAGGGGGAAGGGGTAGCAGAGGGGAGGGGGAGGGGGTGGGTGAGGAAGAGAGTATAAAAGGCAAAACTTGCTGGACTGTGCTTAGGAACAGTGTTTGTGGTTTCTATTACAGAAATGAAATGTTCTCAGCTTTATTACCCTTGAACTCTTTCTTACTCCTCAGCTGGTCAGCCCTTACCTTTCTCCTTCAATCTCTCTCTCTCTCCTCAGAGAAAGTTCGGAGGTTTTAGGGTAGTCACTCATCCAGTCATCCTAGAGAACGCCTCCCTACGACGGTTGTTTGGGCCACCCCTTTCATTGGCTGCGACAGAAAGGCGGTTTTTTTTTTTATTCAATTTGTTATAATATTTTTATGGTTCACTGGAGTTTTTGCTTTGTATGCGTGTTTGTTGATCTTGTTTTTTCGAATTTGATACAGAAATTGAGCTGTATAGACCTTGATCGGGTACAATTTGGTGTTACCTTTGAAGATATCAAACCCAAATCAGGTATGTTCTTCTGCAATCAATCGTATTTAACTGTTTCCTATTTATTTGCCTTACTTTTTTTCCCTTTGTTTCGATCTTATACGGCCTTTTGACAGTTTCTTTCTGTAATTTTACTTTGGTTTTCTGAATTTTGGTACGTTTTTTAAATGATCGGTTTGAATTTTGAATTTCATCTTTGCTTGTTGGACCACCAACACTGTGATATGATGTCTCTTTGGTAAAAAAAGATTTGATCTGGTAAACTATACTTCTTGGCAATTTAAGGTAGTAACATAGGATACAAAAGGTTATGAAAATAAACCCTTGATGGGCATTTGAGTGTTGTAGAAAATATTGAAAGTTATAACACCATGGGTATTGAGTGTTGTAGAAAAAATCTTTAAATCTAATCATCCTCAAATTCTTTTAATTTTATGTCTCGACAGCAACACATCATCGACAACCGCAACAATGGAAAGAGGACAAAGCAACGGTGGCTGACCTGTGGGCGCGATCAGGAGGAGCCGCAACAACGTCTAAGAAAAAGACGGAACAAGGACAGTGAATATGAAAGCAAGAAATACAACACCTTAAATTGTGAGACATGTTTTCTCCTTTTCTTTCCCTCAAATTTAAGTGGCCTTTTTGTTATCTAAAAATCAATTTAATTTTACTATTATTTTAATTGTGATTTTTTCTCCTGTACTTTATTAAGTTTATTATGGGGTTTTTTTCTTAAAAAAAAAAAAACAAAAAAGAATTTGTGGGTTTGTGCTGAAATTGTGAGTATTGCTGAGTGAAAATTGGAAATTATGGAGTAGCAATTTTAATGAAGATAGTTTGGTTGTTTGTTACTATTTTGAGTCGGTTTAATTGATAGTTGGTCTTTTAACGAACTTTATTTGTTGATCTTGTGTTTGATTATTTTATTACTGTACCATCTTGGCTACAACTTGGTCTATTATTTGGTTTGCAGAAATAAGCTCCTGTTTGAAGGAATATCGCTGAATATGGGTATTATTGCTGCTAGTTTTTTGAAGCTTGTTTGTGATTACTCGCTGTATGAGACTAGAGTATTCAATACCCACTTGAAAAAGATGCTACATGGAGCTGCCCACCTGAAGGTATAATTAAAATAAATGTTGACGCTCACTTTGGTGCTGGCACAAGTGGTGGTCTAGGTGCTGTTGCGAGGGATCACTTTGGCCGCATATTATGGGCTGCGGATAAGAAGACTCCTATGGACTGGAATGTGGAATTGGCGGAGGTGGCTGCTGTTAGGGTGTCAAATGGCTAAGAGATTGGGTTACGAAAGTGTATGATCAGGAGTCAAAAGGGAGTAGGGGAAGGGTAATCAACACCATTAGAGGGTCTGCTGCTAGATGGTCTCCTATAAGGCTTATTTACGATGATGTACGTAGAATAGTTATGTCTTTTAATACTTGTATATTTTCTCATGTAAAAAGAGCATATAATTAATTATACGGTTGCCCATTTAGTGGCTAGGTGGGACACTAGTAAGTGCTCCGAGAAAGTTTGTATGGGTTCTTTCCCCTAAGGTCTTCTATCCTTCGCAGAACTTGACTTAAATTAATGAAATGCTCTAAGTCAGTGCTTGGTACTTGACCAGTGTCGAACTAGATGGTGATTCCTCAAATTACTATATTAAACATACAGCAAATTAGATATACATGCCATTAGAGCAGTTAAAACAATGTTGTTTCCAGTTTCAGCATCAGATTAAGTAGAACTTCTGTTTAATACATAGTACATAACAAGCATTCAAAAGTTTCTAATTTGGGAGGTTACAAATTCTAGATAGAATTAGAGTTGATCTTGCTCTAATTGTGACAATCTGACTAAATTGTGACATGGGTTCATCATTTTTGTTTAATTAAGAAAAAAGCTGATAAAATTGCAAGAATTTCAACTTGTAGTGGGTTAACACAACAAACAGATGTGGGAGACTATCTTTAAGACCCCAATCTCCAGATTGGTCCCTGCATATAGAGGCTAAACCCACAAATAGAGAGGAGAAAAGGATGGATTCTCCATTTATTTGTTGTAACATTAACCTTTTAATTTAATCGCAGAGTACATAGTAATGGGGGTATTAGTTTTTCGTTTTGTAGATAAAAAAAATGAGAAAATAGAAATTCCTTAAAATTGTAATTAGGGGGAGTTGTTTGATTGAAAAAAAAACGAAGAGGAAATGACATAAGTGAAAAAAAAATTACAAAAGGTAGGAATTCAATTACCTAATCCCTTAGGTAGATAGAATTTTTCATGAAAAATTACTTCTCACATCGATAACCAAATAACTTTATAAAGACCTTACGATCATATGCAATTTCCAACATTGGCGGAAATGAAATAAAGCATTTTTTTTTTTTTTTTTTTTTTTTTTTTTGTAAAAGAAACAAATTTAAGAAAATATGAATATGAGCTGTTTGGTTGTACTTGTTTAATATAGGCAAGAGAAATTCCTATAAAATGCTTAGATATCTTGTTGCTTGTTTAGCATGAAATATACTCCGTACAAATAGGCTAATTGTAACTTTTTGGAAATTTTGAGGTCCTACCAATCATAGGAAGTTAATTACTCCACCCCCCCTTTTTTAATAGTAATTACTTTGTACCTAACTTACCCTAAGTCATTCACAATTTACAAAAAATGCAAATTATCATATGTCAACCAAACAAGTTTATCAAATTCTTATGAAATAAAATATATGAAAGAAATTATTTCTTAAGAAATATAAATTACCATCAAATTCTTATAAAATAAAATATATGAAAGAAATTATTTCTTAAGAAATGTAAATTAGCATGATTATTTAATTTCCAACGCAACCAAACAAGCACTATATGTAGCTAGGGCTGGCAATCATGTCGTGTCTGTTTGTGTCGGAAATTAAACAAGTTGAGGACGTGTTAATCTGATTGATTAAAAGTGTTGAATACATTTAACACTAACTCACTTTTTCGTGTCCGGTTCGTATCGTGTTGTATGAAAAATATTAGCCTTATTCTATATAATATATCAATAATTATATAAATTATAGGGTTTTTATATTAGATGGGTTGAGTCGGGTTAACGTATTGTTAGAGAATATCAATACTGATCTGTTTTAATTAAATGTGTCATATCATGTTGACCCGTTTAATTACATGTATTAAAAACCCTTAACAATAATCATTTTTTTTCTTATTTAATTCATGTCGTGTCAACTTTTATCAATTGTATATGTAATTTTAAAACACGTATACTTACCAAAAAATAAATTGATGTTTAAATACACATACTCCATAGACAAATATAAAAGAAAGAGAAAAAAAAAACATGTTACGGAGTATTACGTAGTCCTCCACAGTACAATTATAATTATGTGAAACGACTAGTCACTAGAGTTCATGGGCAGTGGACGAACTGACAATGGTGGTAATATTGGGCTATTGGCGTTGTAATTTCTGCTGCCCAACTCTCTCCATCATTTCATAGGTTTTACTTCTTCGGTTCTTCCTACAATCCTACCAATTCTACATGTTAAAACTCCATTTCCACAAAAAAGAAAAAAAAAACCTCCATTTTCATGAAAACTCTGTCTTCTTCTTTTATTTTTCTTTGCCATTTTTAGTAGTCAAATTTCAAAACCTTTTTCTCTCTCCTCATTTGGGTCATCATATTTTTCTTGTGAGGTAATTTCTTTCTTTTTTGTTGTTTCTAAGTTTAATGAGCTTGTTTTTGTTAGTATGGTGTATGTCTGTATGATATGTGTTTTTTTTTTTTTTAATTTGTGGGTTGCTTTTATTTGCTTCATATTCTCTCATTCTAGGGTTTTTGAGTTTGATCAAGTTGATTTTACATGGTAAAATATCTTATTTTGTATTTCTCTGGAATTTCGTTCATCTACTGTTGCTTTATACTCCGTATTGTTTAAATAAGGTTTTTTTTTTTTTCCTCTGTTCTGGGTTTATGAAGAACATGCGGGGGTTTTCTGGTTTGAACTTGATATTTGCCTTTTATGCTCTGGTTACCCACTTACCCTGTTGATCTTGATGTAGATAATTTGTGAAACTTGTCATATTTTGGTTTTGAAATTTGAGTAATGTGTGAATTTGCCGTATTTTTGGTTTTAAACGTTGAGTAGTTTGTTATTCTGATTCTTAATATTGTTTAAATAAGGTTGTTTTTTTTTTCCTCTGTTTTGGGTTTTGAAGAACATGCGGGGGTTTTCTGGTTTGAGCTTGATATTTGCCTTTTATGCTTTGGTTACCCACTTACCCTGTTGATCTTGATGTAGATAATTTGTGAAACTTGCCATATTTTGGTTTTGAAATTTGAGTAATTTGTGAAACTTGCCGTTTTTTTGGTTTTAAACGTTGAATAAAAACTTGCCGATTTGTGAAATTTGCCGTTTTTTGGTTTGTGAAACTTGCCATATTTGAAGGCTCTGATTTTTTGGGTATATATGGAGTATAAATTTATTTACTCTTTTTTTTTGACGAAAAACGCATCTTAGCTCAATTTATTATTTCACCAAGTTTTCAATATCGTGACATAAAGCCCCCTGAATTTCAGTTGGGTACTCTTCAAGCCAAACACGATATTCACTAAAATTGAAACTCAACTTTGCTAAGCTATGGGCAACAATATTACCCGACCTTCTAACAAAAGAAAAAACACAACTCTGACAGCTTCTAGCAAGCATCAGAATATCCCTCACCAAATTGCCAAAAGAGCAAGGAGATATGGAGCCCTTTTTCAGATGGTGGAACAACTTAATGTTATCAGTTTCCAGGATAAAGTTCCTAAAGCCCGCTTCCATGGCTATCTTTAGGCTGGATCTCATACCAATCACTTCACCAACAGCAACATCTACCTTCCCATTCTCTTTCGAACAAAAGGCTACCACAGCAGTCCCCTCCTCATTTCTCAATATCCCACCAATTCCCAGCCACTGACCTTGGAAGGCTGCGTCTGTGTTTAGCTTATACAGACCAGCAGCAGGAGGCTTCCATCTAGAGCTGAAATACTGCACTTGCATCCCCATATCAGCATTCGCATTAGCTTCTTCAAACTCTCCCACCAAGCACATTGTCTTGTAAAGAATGTCAGCCTCCCTCTTCTCTCTTTTATCAAAGACCCATGCATTGCGTTTCAACCAGATTCCCCACGCCAGGCACCAAATATCCCACCAATTCGTCTCCTTGATCTTTCCATACATCAGATTGCATCAACCTCGAAACCCATCAGCATCAAATGCCCTTGTGTCAAGCCGCAAGGCAGAATGTCTCCAAATAGAGGATGCTGCAGGCAGAAGAGAAGCGTATGAGCAGTAGTTTCCTCTCCCTCCCCACACATAGGGCAACGTTGATCTACATTCATACCCCTAGCCATCAACCGGCTCATAACAGGCAGCCCCTCCCTCACACTTCTCCACACAAATAATTTGATCTTTGGTGGAATACGGGCATGCCAAATACTCTTCCAATTAAAAACTACATGCCCATTTGACGAGGTTGCCTTATCCTTTACCTCTTCTTCGACCAAGAGGTTGTAAGCACTCTTTACGCTGTAACGCCCATCTTTCGAGTGATGCCATGACCAAACATCTTCCTCATCAAACAGAGGTACTGGAATACTACAAATTCCATCAATTTCCCGCTGAGAGAATAACTCAGAGAGAGTAGTCCAATTCCAGCTCTGATTTTCCCACAGATCTTTGACATACATTGGAACATCACTACCATCCTTCATTTGTGACAGAATTCGGAACTTTAGGAGATTAGGCACCGACACTACTTCCCCCACCAATAGTCTTTATGGCACCCTTCTCAATTACCTCCCTAGCACTTAGAATCGATCTCCACGTGAAGCTCATGTTTGGGACAGCATAAATTTATTTACTCTTGGATGTCTTGCCTTTTTGCTTATAAAGGTTGAAATAATGTTATTGTTGTATGTGAGTGTTGCTGACATTACATGTAGAAAAGGTTGAAATAATGTTATTGTTAACGAAGTAGTATTGTTGCTTGAATGTTAGTAACTTATTACTTCTGCTATAATTTTGTTGTCTAGTTGCTGCTATATTCTATTATTCTGTTTACCTGCTGCTGAAATTGTTGTTGCCTGTTATATAATCCTGCTGCTGCCTGTTGTATTGCTACTGCTTTTATTTTTGCAATTGCCCTGCAGCTGCAGTTCTGTTCGTCCCATAATAATAGACCTGCAGACGTTTCTAGCCCATAGTTCCTTCATGAAAGTTGTAGATCTTGAAAAGTTATTCAATCTAGGCTCAAGAATTTCTTGATTTGGAATTGTGTGCTAGGTTTCATGCCTTCTTGAAATTCCTGTGGTCTGCTGTCTTGGTTCTATCTCAGCGGGGCTGCTGTTGATCACTTGATCCCTGTGTGGTGTTGTTAATATAAAAGATTGTTCTTCCTATGTCTTGTTTGAGTTATGGGCTGATTTAGTCATGTTAGTGTTGTAGTAGCTTTCATAACTTGAGTTTAGTTAAGAGTGGTAAAGCGATGTCAATTTTTTAGCTTCTTATCAATGACTTGCCTTGTAATCAGAGTGAAGAAAATGACTCAAGGTGCTACAAAGAAGAAACGGCA